GGCCGGGCCGGGCTCCGCGCGGGACCGGTGCAGAGGCCACGGGCCGCCTCCCGCCGCGCTGCTCCTGGTACCCGGGAGGGGGAGGCCCGCACGGACCGGCCCTGCCGCGCAGGAAACGCCCCGGGAGACCCGGCAGTTTACTACCCGCCGAGGGGTTGGGGCTTAATGCCTGTTTTATGGAAATGGGAGGCTCCTCCCTAGCTTGCTCCTGCAGCCACATGACGGACGGCAGGCTGGGGGGGCACCCGACCCCCAAGCCTCCGGGCTTGGCCCTGCACGTAGGACGCCGGCCAAAAGAGGCTGGAAATGTCTGCAGTCCCTGGTGGGGGTGGAGGATGTTTGCCGGCTGTGGGACCACTTGTGGTTCTGGACTGACCCATGGATTTGGACTTGATTTGGCTGGGAACATGAAACATTTCTTTAAAAAAAAATAAGTTGTGAGGGCCAGGCTGCCTGGTGTGGGTGGGAGGCGGATAGACGAGCTGAACCACAGGCTTTGTCCTCATCCATCCCCGAGGAAGACCCCAGAAAGGCTGGCTTTGGTGGGAAAGCTGGTCTAACTTTGTCCTTGCTCCAATACAAGATACCACCCTATGGCATCCTTGCCTCTCCCATGGGGGAGAGGTAGTCCCTCACTACAGAAAATACCTCCTTTATTTAATCCAGTTTAAAAGCAAAGCAGCTTATTTTTCATCCTTTATGGTTCCAGTTCCCTCAACATAGTTTGTTAGCTAATAAGTGGCCATTTAAAAATGCTGCTTTCATGCATTTTAATTGAATTAAATTCCACCCCCAATGCAGTTTGAGACAAGTTTATGAATGAAAAATGAATCATCTAATAAATAAGTGTATCATTCAGCCTTTTGTAAAAGAAACCAAAAAATTAAGGCACTAAATAGCTTTATAAGTACCCACCATGGACCTCCCTGCTTTAAGCTGGAGGCTGTCCTTTTGTAGTTTCACAAAGGCCACTAGTTTCTGCATCACTCAAGTCCTTAATTTAATTTATTCTTCTATACAACAATAGACATACAGTTGATTTTGTCAGACTTGGAATTTGTTGGGTTTGCCTCTATCAACTCATAACATTGCCTACAATAAATCAGTCCTGGTAAGAAGAAAATGCAATCAGGAAGATCAGCAGGAATTAGCCATATTGGTAAAATGAAAAGTACCATCATTAGCTCTCCTCCAAAGATGATTCCTACTTACTGTTGCTTTGTCTACACTTCCATTGTAAGAGTCAGATTCTGGCACTGCACACCTGGGCTGATCCATGCATACTGGCTAAGCCCTAGTGATTTCTGTGGGATTTTGCACAGGGTATGGGACTGCTAACCAGACCAGACCCATTCACATAGCTCCGATGGCAGGATTTGCCCTGTTTATATCTTATGCTCTATACTATACCTCTGGCCCCATTTCAGAAAAAAGCAAAGGTGAAACTGATACATTGGCCTTTTAGATAAATTAACCTCTTGGATAAAAACCTCTCTTAGCACCACATCCTGTGAAAACTCATGCACACAAGTACTCCAATCAAAGTTGTTCTGCTTAACAAGCAATCGCATACAAAAGTTAATTGTGTGCATTTGTAGCAATGCAGATGTGTTTATTGCCTTTCATCTGGAGGTTCCAGAGTAGTCTAACAACTTTGCAAACAGCTTTAATATACTTTCCAAAAATGTCAGCCATTGCATCATCTAGAACAGCGGTTCCCAATACTGGGTCATGACGCAAATGAGGTTGCAGGGGCAACACTGGCAACACCGCACAAAAGATGAGCTGTGCTACGTGCCAGGAGCTCCCCCGCCCCTGCACTCTGCTCCCAGCAATGGGGCACAGAAAAAAAGGTTGGGAACCACTGATCTAGAAGTTTGGCTTACAGGCACTGGCTCTAATCACTGACACAAGGATGGACAATTATTTGGGCCCGAGCACTACGTAGGCTGATTTGCTGAGCCGTTGCAGGCCAGGTCAGCACCTCCTGCTCCCTGCAACAACTCACCAAAACTCCGTCTGTGGGATGGGGCTCTGGGCAGCAGTGTTCTCGAGCGGGAGGGGCAGGCAAGGCTGGAATCACAGGATGGGACCTTGAGGCGGTGACAGCGCAGGGCTAGGGCAGAGCTGGAAGTCACCACTGGGCCACACTGGGGAGCTGCAGCACACACAAGGGGGAGAATGGGGCTGTGAGCACCACAGAGGAGGCTTGGAAGGAACTTAACCACCCTTCCCCTTCCCTCGCCAAGCCTGAGGCACGCAGCCCACAGACAGAAAGAGGGGGATGGACCTGGCCGTGTCTGCAGGCTGGCATGACATGGGGGTGCCCCAGTGCTGCCTGGTGGGGCCAAGAAAATCACTCCATGCATCCAGCCTGTAGGCTATATTTTGCCCATCCCTGCACTAACTGTTAAATATATGCTTATTCATGCTTGCTCTGATGAAAAAAGCTGAACTTGTGTGCTGAAGTTGCTTTTAATATGCATAGTGTTTCTATAATTAACTAATTTAAAACATTCATTTTTGAGAAAGGCCCTTGGAGAGATATCAGTTGAAAATGAGCTAATTTTGAATTTTACTCTGCAGCACAAAGGGAACAGGGAACATCATTATGTGACACTGCCAGCCAGATAGTGATATTATTTTTAAGGAATTAGCCTCTGCACAATGTGTCAAAGCCCAAGTAAAACTGCTTTCAATGGTACCGAGTAGTTAACACTCAGTAAACTTTCTTCATTCTCTGGTGCCCTCCAAGGGTCAGTTATGGAGTTGCACTGGAGTCACAGAACAGCTTGTACACTCTCCGGGGCTGCTGGTATATACATGACCAGGTTTAGTCCTTCAGGGTTGCATTCTGTGCCCCCTAAATATTGAAATGGTGGGTTTTATTTTTCTATCAATTTACACATCATCAGTTTCAAATTTTATGAAATGCTCAGTGCACAATTCACAGTAAATTACTGCAGAGGTCACCACATAATAATCCAACCCACTGATCTCTTTGTACTAAATTACAGCAAGAGATGCCACCCACCGCTAATCCCTGTTACAAACCAGTGATGTCTATAGCTCATCACTTGCTGATATGCACACATGGCTGAAAGTGACACTGTTTCATTAATTTACTCATGTTATTTCATTATTTTACATGCATTTTTAAATTATTTTTGTTTTACATCAATATTTTACCATTTTTTTATTCTCATTTTTTTTCCTTTTCATACCAATCTTTATTTTTACTCTTTTTATTTTCCTATTTCATCAAGAAAACTCTTATTTAGTGTGTAAATCCATGTGCTTTTTTATTTCACTCAACCACCCCTACAAACAGGGTGCTGAAATTCTCCAAACACTTATAATACGCACACAAATCTGCACCCTGTGAATTGCTCATACATACTAGCCAATTGCCCATCAGGGATGCCCGGGGGGTGGGTTGGGAAGCTGGCGGGACGGAGCCCCGTGCCCCTCCCCATTCCAGGCCTGCTCCCTGCTTCCCTCCTGCTGCTTGGGGTCCAGGCCCTATGCAAGGGAGGACTGGACCAAGGGTGGGGAGAAGCCCACACTTCCCTCCTGCCCCGCTTCCCTCCTGCCCCCTGCCACAGAGGGCCCAGGCCAACCCAGCAGTGGCAGGGGGCAGGAGGACCAGGCTCGGGGCTAACGCAGGGGAGGTAGAGAAGTGGGCCCGGGACCAATGTGGGGAGGAAGCTCGCTCCGCCCCTTCCCCAGTCACTGCCACATCAGGCCGGGCCCGCTGCTCCCTCACCACCACCACAGTGGGCCGGCTTCTCCCCCGGCTCACGGTTGCCCCCTCTCCTCATGTCAGGCCCGGCCCCACTCCTCCCTCACCACCAACACAGCCGCAGCATGCCTGTTCCTCTCCACTGCAGCCGTGTTGGCCTTACAGGCAGGGATGACAGTGGGGAGGGGCAGGCCAAGGCCATTGCCGATGGCCTCCCACCCGTGGCATCCCAACCCCGCTCTCCCCCACACCATCACCTCCAAGAAGCAAGGGGGGGGGGGAACCAGCTGTGCTGGCCTCGGCCTCCCTCCATCCCTGCCATCATGGAGGTGCGCTGCCACCTGTCCTAATGCTTCTTTGCAGTCTGATTGGCTGTTTGTCAACCAATCAGAGCATGAATAAAGCATTATGGACAGACAGACAGACAGACAGACAGACAGACAAAGGCTTTTATAATGTCAGTCTCTGAGTGCCGTGGTGTGCTAACTGGAACTTGGGTAATGCGCTCCCTGCATTATCTTACAGGGGGTCCCAACCCTGGAAAACTCCCGGTCATTGTTTGTTCAGTGTTTCCCTTCCATCCCCAGACTGTTCACTGTGTCTGTTTGGGTCTCTGTTACTGTAGCCCCCCCAAGTCCCAGTTTTCTCAGGCTGTCCCCCATGCTCCACTCTGCTCATCCAATTCAAATCCAACCACCAACCATCCAAACTCCCCCCCCAGGCTATCAAGAGACCCTGGCCTTTTGAGTGGATATATCCCTGCCAGAAGCAAAGAGCTTCTTCATCCTCACCTCCCCACTCTCCAAACAGCACACTGAAATTCTCCAAGTGCTTGGAATACATTTTATATTTTAACTGACTATTTTTCTTGCATACATACTGGCTGCTTTACCACTCCATCCAGGAGTGCACAGACCATCTGCAGACAATTTCTCAGCCTAAGGGGTGTTTGTGCCCGAAAGCTTGTTAATCATTTTTCCAACTACTTGAGTTGGTCTAATAAAAAATATCTGATTTACCCAAAGAAGCTTGTCTGCATATGTTCTTAGACCAACACAGCTACAATCTACACCCCTGACACAAATGCCAATACATTTGCAAGAATTAACCAATGCTTCCCTAACCTTAGATATCTCTTCATCCCAAAAAAAGACACAAAGCCTTATTTTTGGCTTTCCATTGGTCACATGCTTATTTCCAGTTATATGTTTTATTATAACTCCCTATTGCTCAATAGCTA